TTTGTTTTTTTTGTTTTTCTTCTTTCTTTTTTTCCTTCTTTTTTTTTCTTTGTTTTTTTACAAGTGTTCTAAAAACAGAAAAGCAGCTTTTCAACAAGTGTGCTTTTTGTTTTTGCTTTTTTTTTTTGCTTTTTTTTTTTGACAAGTGTTCTAAAAATAGCTTTTCGACAAGTGTTCGAGCCAAGAGCTGTCCAGAATACCCCAACCGGGGGATGATGGGGGAGGGGATTTTATAATTCCCCAATAGCACTTCCAAATATGCGCTTTATTGAAGTAGATGTACGTGTACTTTTTCTTTGACTCACGCTCATCTACTGGTCTGCATGCCTTTACTTGATTAATTATTTATTTATTTTTATTTATTAAAAAAAACGTGCTCGCTTGGTAATTTAGGACCCATACATCGATTTGGGGTAAGGGGAGTGGTTTTGGGAGAAATGGTTATCGGATTTTGACTTAGAGAGAAGACAAGGGAGTTTTTTTTTTTTTCTTTCTTTCTTTTTTTCTTTTTTTGAGTTGATTGGTTGATTTGGTAACTTTTTGTAATCCTTTCTGCTATTCTTCTCGTTGCCGTTTGCTTTCTAATTATTAAAAAAAAAAAAAAAAAAAAAGCGGTCCAATTCTCCAAGTCAGTTCTAATACCGTCGACCTATTAACGAGCTGGGCTCTGCTTAATCTCAGCCACATTTTTCTTTTTGACAGCTAAGCTACTCCTCAGCCTAAACAGGGGATCCCTGCAAGCATAGCTCTCTCTCTCTCACAATCACAAGGGGGGGGGATGCATGTTCCCTCCCGCTGTAATCAGCAGTGGTCAGGGAGTAGGGTGGGGCAGGGGGGAGGGGGAAGGGGGGGGGGAGGTGGCTAGCGCAAACTTAAGACCGAGCTTAAAATAAATAATAATAATAATAACAATAACATAATAATAATAATAATAATAATAATAAAAAATCATTCATGGCCGGGGCCTCTGCCTTCAGGGTGGTATGAGCCCCTGATGATGAAGGCAGAGGCTCTGGCCATGATTTTTTTCTTTTTTTTTCTTTTTGAGCCTCTGCCTTCAGGGTGGTATGAGCCCCTGGTATGAGCCTCTGCCTTCAGGCTGACTTCCTGGGCAGTTGCTGCACCTCCCATCTACTTCCTTCGTCTAGTTCCCGTCTATTACTCACTGGGGTTCATATATATATATATATATGGGAGGTGCAGCTTCAGCGTGGTATGAACCCCAGTGAGTAATAGCAGTGTCTATGGCGAGCACTCACACATATATGTATATATTTTCCTAATTGTCTTGCTACCATTTCTCCTTTTTTTCCCCTTTTTTTGCTTTACTCTTCCCCATTTTTTATGCGATATTTCGTTTTGCGGACCTACTGTATGGTTCCGTTTTTTTTTTTTTTTTTAACTATGGATATTGTAGAATTTTGTTTTGGTAACCTTGTCTGCATGCATCCCGGTTGGTTTTGTCCCGTTATTCGGTCTATTTCATGGCGGGCGAAGCGGTGCTTTCATGTGGGACCAGTCATCCGTTTTTTTTTTTATTGTCTTGGCATCCTAGTTGGTTGCTTCCCGTTGTTCGGCCTGTGGGAGGGGGGGGAGCATTCATGTGGGAATGGTCATCTGGGATTGGCTTTTATGTTTTTTGTCCCAGTAAGAATGGTGTACAAATGGGAATACCCACGTCTTGATGACGAACAAGGCCATCTGCTGTATATAGATATGTAATCTGGGATTTCTCTTTTTTTGCAGACAAGAGTTTTGTCCTGGGTGGTCTTGTCCTGCCGTTTGGCCTGTGAAGGAGAGGCGGTGCTTGCATGTGGGACTTGTCATCTAGGATCCGTTTTGGGTGCTATTGCTTGTTGCCCCCTCTTTTCTTTGCCTCTTTGCCCTTTGGCTGTGTGCAAGTGGGTCGATATGACACACGGGGGTGGGGGCAGCCACCGCTCAACCTACATCCACGTGGGCGCCCTTGTACGCAAGAGCTTCTGAACAGGGGGAGTTGTAAGAAAGAAGAAAAAAAAATGAAAAAAAAAAATTCTTGTTTTCTTCTGTTTTTTTCGCCTGTGCACTCTGATATTCATGTGACCATATATATCGTCACAAACAGAACTGCCCGGTAAAACCGTAGGCAGAGAGAGAGAAGAGGACAACAAACGAGGGGCTGTGACAAACTGTTTCGTCGGAGTTTCACCGACTCATCAGGAGGCTGAATATACCAGCCAGGCCGAAGGTCCAAGCAAAAAAACAAAACAAAAAAAAGAACTCAAACAAATCCGAAAAAAAACTATGTTATGCACAAAAATAAATCGAACAACTTTTGCCTCAGGGCCACATCGAAATTCTTCACCGAATTTAAAATAAAAAATACATTTTAAATTTTTTGTTTTTATTTTTTTATTTTTTATTGGCCCGGCCGGGCAAGTGACCCCGGGCCACTCGTCAAACAGAGCAGGCCGGTACACAGTAGGCAGAGAGGGAGAAGAGGACAAGAAACGAGGAAGGGGCAGTGACAAACTGTTTGGCGGAAGTTTCACCTACCTACTCATCAGGAGG